CGTACGCCGGTCCGGTAAAGCCTCGTTTCAAAAAGAATGGGAGCTCGTCTGGAAAGGAACTGGTCGGGCCGTGGTGCTGCTGAGCTTGCTCTCCTCTACCGGAAGCGCAGCAGTGCTAGCCTGTCCCGCTCAAAAGTTTAAAAAAATGTTTTAATTTTGTGAGGTGCTAAATTTCCTAATTACGGAATATGAAACGTTATGTAAAGTTGTGTACCGTGAATAAAAATTAGAGCAGGTTACAGACGCCCTTGTTAGCTCTCAATTTTTAAATTATGAAGTGTTAGGCATATGACTTATAGATAAAGTACCTCTGTCATTCGCCGTTACAGGCCTGCCAAGTTCAGCCTCTGCGAGCTCTCAAAACGCCTGGTAGGTAGGCAACAGCTCGCCTACAGTTCATGCGTGTACTGCGGGTTGGCCTACCCTGAATCTCGCAGGCGCCGAGCGCCCGCAACTTGACGCATTAATCTAAGAAAAACAGACGTACTTTGTGGACGATCCCTTATCTAAAAATTATATTGTTGGGGTAAAACTGATAGTACTTTCCTACTGTTCTATAATGTTTTTTATACGTCGCATGAAGTCAGGGCAGCACTCCCTTTTCAATCTCTCCTGCTTGTGCACACCACTGCCAACCACTGCACGGCAGAGGAGGGGGAGGGGCAACGGAAAGAGGTTTCCACGCCAAGAATACTAAGGAGGTCCGACGGGACAAATCCCGGGGCCACAAGGTATCGCGTCTTGATTCAGTGCAGTGTTGGCGCCCACAAAGACAAGTTGCGCTTCAAAGCAGCCTCGTAACGGCTCCTTCGCGCGTTGTACTAACTCTTCCTTCAAAACCACTTACGCTGTGAAGAACTCTTAATTTAAAAACGAGTTGCTACAAACTCTGAAAATCCAACAATAAAGGGACAGTCCCACTCCCACTGTTGGATTTTCAGAGAAGTAGCGGCACTGGCGGCACTGGCAGCTGAGCACTAGGCGCTACACTGGGGGAACCTGAGATGCCGAGACTGCGGGAGACGACCAAGAACTCCTGAGAGTCGGATAAAGAACCCGACCAGGGCGAGGCGGCTTACCCGTTACGTTGTTATGATAATGCTGGTTCGACATTCGTCGGAGCCAAGCGGCAGCGGCGGTGCTGCGCGAACAAACACGGGACAAACTTGGTCCTGCACGCAGCTATGGCTACGCAGCTGCGTAACGAGTTGAAACAACAACGATAATGCTATGAGTTCGCTATGATGGCAAAGTTGAAAAAACAACAACACGTAATTGAATGGGGCCGCCTGCTGCTGCGAGAGGATGGAAACAATAATAATGTCTCCCACAGAAGGGACAGCAGTCCACTGGATAATGGGGTGGGGCAGCAAGAGGTGCGGGCGGCGGAGCAGGGCACGCGCGTCTCTGGAACGTCCTGCGCGTGAACTTGTTCTGGTCCTGTCGGGTCCTGTGTAAAACTGGTGATGAAAAGGCAACCAGGCTTAAACCCCTCTTACCTGACAGGTTGCTACAAGAAGTGTGCAGTTTATGCATACCAATATTTCATTGCGGGTAGTTCTTAGGACCTATTTAACAGCCCCAATAAGCGATAGGTAAGGAAACTTCTGACGGAAAATTGCAGATTCAAATATTAAATCAGAGATTTGTGGCTTGAGCATTCCACACTATACCGTGTGTCAAAAGCTACGACACAACAGTGTGTGGGTTTCCCTACCCTAGGGGCCGTGGCGCCTTCCGGATGGTTCGAGTAGGCAAACCCGCAAAACTGTTGTTGTGTCGTGGTCCTGACACACGGTACACATCCACTGCAAAGGTAACGAAATTACTCGTAAGAGTCATGGTGTGTGAATCAAATCCGTACTAGCAGTGCATCGTGTGCAAAACCCCTCGCCGTCCATTACGTTTCTCTAACCCCGCGTTGCGCCCTCCCCCGCGTGTTCACCCCCTCCACCATTCACGTACACAAACTGGTTCACCGCGCACGGATATAGCAGCAGCGCCATAGCAGAAAAAGGAAGGCACGAGCGTCAGATTTATCGCCCCCAAACAACACAGTTGTGGTGCGAATAGCGCTAAAAACTACTGCGTACAGCCATGTCGGCTGTGAATAGCGCGGCACGTGTGACTCAGTGTGACTGCGGCTTATCCAGCCGACAAACTGCCGCGCTATGCGGCCTGTGCTGCGCCTGCTACACCGCCCCTCCGATATCGGGTCGCTTTGGCTGTATCACGCCTGCTCGCTGCGGAAAGCTGTTGCAACATCTGCACTAAACAAACAAAGAAAACCATTTTGACATAAAATATGAGAATTGAAAAATAGTCTAGCAATTAATAAATCAGCATGGTATCAGCACTTCAGTGTTAATTCTCGCACAAGCAGGCAAAGCCTCCATAGGGTACAGCATTTTAACTTTTTAAAAGAAATATGCGGGGTCTGTAAAATATGGGACGCCATGCGTTAGTACCGATACACGATTGTGAACTAGACCGGCCTGTTTTTAAGCGTCTCTGAGAAGTATCGTCGAGGCGGGGGCAGAGGGCGGCAAGAGGATGGTCGTCAATTTCTAACGTCCCGAAAAGTCGTACGTTCGTGGACTTTGTGTCCCGCCCGGATACAGACGTCGCGAAAAGTAAAGTTTTGGCCCATAGGAGAACAGGAAGCAGGGCTCTTGGCGCACTGTCATTCAGGAGCAGGGGACCCCGCAAGAAACACTGTCAGCGAGAAATCCTTGGTAACGGCTGGCGGCTGGGCAGGCGGCAAGCCATCTAGCAGAGTGACCGTGGGCCACTCGACGGGCCAGCGGTGGGGCGGGGCAGCCCTCAATCCATTCCAGCGTTTCCATACTCGAGTGGAGACGGTCGTTCTCTCTCTATCTCTCTCTCGCTCTCACAGTGTTTCTCTGAATCACGCCGAAACTTTTGTCTGCGTCATTGTGTGAAGCCATGGAGTGCTTCTCGTTGGGGCACCTTTTTACCCCCCCCCCCCCTAAGACACCACCTGAGGTGATTATCGGTGGAGAACCTCTGTAGATGTAGGCATACTTACAAAACAAAAAAGGGAAAGTAAAGAACTGTAAGGCTACTTAAAGAATTTTGCCAAAAGCCTAGGCAGGGAGTTGGCGAACGTCACGAGGAATAATAGAGTTTGGGTCGATGTGGGCATGGGGTTGAAAGTGGGGGGGGGGCTGCGATGCTGCGGCCGCCACCGGGCGCCGCGCTCCTCCTGCAATTACTCGTGCGAGTGTCGCGAGGGGCGGGTCGCGGGGGCGTTTGTTTAAGAAAATAAATTGTCGAGTCACAGGCAGAAGCCGGAAGGCCTGCTGCCCCCTCCGTGTTGCAAAATAACCCGCTCAGTGCCCAACCCCCCTCAACCCCCCGGTCGTCTTCGCCCTCCTCCCCTAGGCCGACGGCATAGCCCTCTCAAGCCCATTTCGAGCAAGCGGCAACCATTTTGTGGACGGCGACGCTGTCGCTGACGTGCGGTGACCCCTGCAGCTTAAGTGGGGCAAGTGTTAACGCGTCGAGCGCGGTGAAAAAGAATGGGTCACGGAGCCGTTACAGGGGTGTATCCTCGGTGCAGCTAGACTGTCCAACCTATTTTCTTCGGACCTAAAAATTTTTCCAAAATCCCCAAAAGTACTGTCCGACCTAGGTTTTGTCCGACCTCATTTTCTCCGACCTCGTCGAGATGCTGACATTTGGGAAGAATGTGCTTCAAAGATGAACAGGCTTCAGAGGCCATGAAGGGGTACTTTAAGTGCGTGAGGGAAAGACCGCGACTGTGACGGAGTACAGCGCAACGCCACAGGACAGTCAAAAGTCCGCTCGTGGCGCCGTAAGTGCGTAACGCGACGCGCGATTCAAACATGTTTGCAAACATGGTAAACGCGCCGAGACGTTGTTATTCGTCTCATACTCTTCACTGCTACCGTTCTTCCACGATAAAAAACAAAGTCAAATTTCGCCTCCTACCAGAGCAATTGTGGTGGATCATTTTCCTGCATTCTAGCTAGCAGCCCTGTTCTGCAGCGGCGAAAACATTTTCTCCTCGCTGCTGCGACACAGCTGCGGCCGAGCCGGCCGTGGTGCGCCCGGGCAAAGAAGGGCGGCGGCGGCGGTCTGCCGGGTGAGGAGAGGAGAAAGGGGGGACGCCATTAGCGACAGAAGCATCGCGAGCAACAGCCCCAATTATTTGTGTAATGAATTTAATTAATCGCAACCGGAGCCCCTGCGCCCGCCCCGCCTGCTCCAGTGGGGCCGCGCCCCGCCCCGCCGTGGGCTGGCTGGGCTGGGCCGGGCCGCCCTGCACATCCTCCACGAGTACAGTTCTTCCCCCGCAATTACCCCCGCCACGTCCCGCTAGAGTGATTAATCTCGGACACACCACTCTCCTCACTCTCCCGCCGCTCGCTGCTCCTCAACTCTCCCGCAACAAACTACCAACCGCCCGCCTCCTCCGGGCCTCTGCTATCCCCGCCGTGGTGGGGTGAGTATGAGAAATTTGGCGGTCAGCCGGGGGCCTATTGTTGTTGTCTCCACAGCCACGGGACGCCTGCGCCCGCCCCTGCTGGGCAGCGAGGCGGCTGGCGCCAGGATGGGCAGGATGGGGCTTCCAGGGCCCCGCGGCTCCCGCGGAGGGGAGCTCTCTTCTGGAGAGCAGGGGAGAAGTGCGCACTGAGGTGAGCGTTGCGGCGGGCCGGGGCTCTCACTATCAAACACGTAAAAGCGCGTGTCAAAATGTCACACAAATGTGTGTCGCGCATAAACGTCGTGCGTGATTGCCATGTCATTCACTGATAAATGGGTGACAAATGGAGAAAAGTGTATAGTTGTCCGAAAAAAAAGAATATGTGAAATGCTTGTCACTCACTCTCCTTTTTGTGGCATGACTTCTGTCATAAACACAGTTTTCTGCGAACCGTTTTGACATTCGCCTTTGATTGTTTCGATGTCACACACTTCTATTTGACACTTTTGTGGGATGTCGCTTGTTTCAGGGGGAGAGGTAGATGCCAGAGAGGGTAAGAACTAGAGGATCACCTTGGCCAGCAACCCCGACGAAAAAGAGCGTGCGGTCCTATTTACTAGAACCGAAGTATATCACTAATCTCGTGGTCAAGTAAGTTATTTTTTGATGGACTTTTCTGTTTAAAAAATCTAAGGGATTTCATGGAGTCGCGTGAAGTAAATTGCAAAACTCTGTTGGGATTTCCCAACGATCTGCCTACTAGTGCTTAATGACAAATTCACGGATGTCATTCGTTATAAAGTTGACGTTGACTATTTTAACTGTCGAATTATTCTTGGTAGACGTAGGCCTACCTCATAATGCGTTTCCTTTAACGATCCTGCGGGAATTCCCAATGGTGGTTGTGATTGAATCTTCCTGAAATCCCAACAATTTTTTCAGTGTTAGAAAAAATCCCCGAAACTAAAAAGGAAGACGCATGTATTATCTATGTTTTTCTTTTGAAGAGGCCAAGGAGGATCTAAAGTTCGCTACACCAAGACACAAGCAACTGATCTGCACAAGGCAGCCAGAGTACACTACTTCTCAACAGAACCCGCCAACAAATTCGTCGACATGAAGCTCGACATTCGTAAGCGGGTGCAACACGCCGAAAGGGTAAGCACAAGAACAAGTCTTAGTGTTAGTAGGGAGTTGCTTATCTCAGTAATGTTCATTCAATATTTAATAATTAAACTTCATGAAATGCACAGAACATTTCTGCTCGTACATTTCAATCTTGTAAGCTAACTCGTTTTCAATTTCGGCCTTGATCATTCCCTGTGGATAGGTGTTCAACCCCCAGAAGAAGATCGATAACAACGCACCCCGCCTGTTCGCACGCATCCCTCGCACAGAACGAGCCGCTTTCCGCCTGGACGACCTCATGCTGGAGAATAAGCAGCTTCTGGAGAGGATCTGCACAATATGGAGGACAAGGGTTCAGTTTTGACATCTAATCTTTAAAAACACCGTATTCAAGGAATGCACGATCTAGTTTTTAACTGATTGAATTGTTAAGTGAAAATTCTAAATTGAAGTGTGACTGAACAGCAAGTGTTTGATAAAAACACGACATATTGTTTAATTAAACTTAATACGCCCTCATACGCTCGTTTGCGCGAATAAACCAAGTCATTTTTGCAGGGCATCGTGGACACCTCGGCTCCCAACGTGGAGTGGAAGTCCAACTTCAGGGAGCGTGTGTGGGACATGGTGCGCCGGGAGGCCGACAACGTCGCCCTGCTGTACTTCATACAGACAGCGGTAAGAGAACATGGAGAGAACAGAGGGAAAGGAGGCACTCCCAACACTATACACTAAAAAATACATCGTTACAGTTCGATAAAAATAAAAACTATGCGTTATTGTTAAATATAAATCAAGGTTACGTAGTTAATTGGTTTACTTAGTCATTTTTCACGAATATTTTTTAGTGTTTTGTCTAATAAAGCATGTCTCTTTCAGTCTCCGCTCGTGCCGACGCGCGACGAGTGCGCGCGCGATTTCCAGAAAGCCGTGGACAAGATGCGATTCGTGTGCAAGTTCCCCCTCCTCTTCCTCAAGGACACCAACATAGACTTACCCCTGCCCATGCCAGACCCGCCACCTGTAGACCCGGAGGCGCCACCGCGTAAAAGGTATATGACTGCATGTATAACATCCTCCGTTTCTTTGTTTGTTTTGAAGTGAAAATTCGAATTTCTCTCTTATATGAGCCTTGTAAATTATTGCATTGAGCCAACCTTCCCTCAGGGTCTTCTTTGAGTTCATCACGAGCCAGGAGCGCTTCCTGGGCCGCGTGGAGCTCGAGCTGTTCGAGGAGGAGGCGCCGCAGACGGTGGCCAACTTCCTGGCCCACATCCGCGGAGAGGCGCCGCGGCCCGCGGAGGACGACGAGGACGACCACGGCGGCGAGGAGGAGCCGAGGACCTACTCGTACCGCGACACGCCGCTGCACCGCATCCTCCCCGGCTACTACATCCTGGGCGGGGACGTGGTGCACGGCAACGGGTCGGCGGGCAGCTCCATCCACGGCGGCGCGCCCTTCCCGGACGAGAAGAACGACCTGACACACTGCGAGCCGGGTAAGAGAAAGAGAGAGAGAGAGGGGGGGCAATGTGCATTGCCTGGAAGGTTGGCAAAAAAGCATGACCCTATACTGAGTGTAGTGGGTGCGAGTTAGCGAGACAGTGGTAGGCTCGACTGGTCCCTGAGGCCCGTGACCACCTCCGCCGGCCCGGCCCGGCCCGCACAGGCGCGGGTTGGGTTGCCTAGACGTCGGGCGGTCCCCTGGTTCTTGCTTTTTGTTAACTCTTGTCCTATCTGCTGTCTTCCCTCGTAACCCTTAATTTTCACGTATTTTGGAGGGAATCAAGTGTTGAGCAGGGACTTGCCCTTCCCCTATCCTCAGATAGAAAACCCACAAAAATGAATGATTGTTGTTTACTACCGTAATAACGCTATTATTATTGTTTGCCCGTGGCATTTTCCGAAGTCCTGTGCCGCTTGAGGCTGGTGCGTGGCTGGGGCGCGCTGGGGCAGAGGACGGAGCGCCCGCCCGAGCCCCCGACAGACTGGTCTCTTTAGACTGGTCCAGCCGGGCTCTGCCGGCTCTGCTGCTCTGATTATGTTCATTTGGCAGCATCTGTGCGGCGCGCAACCGCAAAATAATCTGATATCAGCGTAGCGTGGCCTGGCGGGGC